GGAGTACCGGAGGTAACCCACGCAAACACGGGGAGAACATGCAAACTCCACACAGAAAGACCCCGGCCTGATGGTGGAATTGAACTCAGGACCTTCTTGCTGTGCGGCAACAGTGCTAACCACCGTGCCACCATTACAACCCAGAAAATAAAAAAAATAAATAAACTTTGAGGATACTTTTAGTACAAGAATGCTTTACAGAAATGATATATGCTCATATTTCTATTTTTAATGGTTTCTGTTTATCACAAAACAATCAAAAATCATGTTTGATTTATATATTTCATGTAAATTATTTAAAACTAGAAAAACTTACCAATGTTCATCAAGTCAAAAGTAAGGGGGTCTGAAGAAGTATTCCCCAGGGCATTGGAAGCCTCCACAATCACAGTGTACTCGACCCAGATAGAGGTCTTGCTAAAGAAACAGGAGTTACTTCCAGCTTTGTGGTAGTCCGGACACTGGCGCATATTCTCCTGACTGCACATGAACAAAATACATGTCATCACCGATCACTGCAATGTGATTTCAGTTGCATCTCCTAAGAAATGAATAATTGGATTTTCTGATGAGTCTGTAAGCATGTACAGTCATTTCTATTGCACCTTACTATCATATTCTATGGGCTTAAGCATTAAGTGTATCTCACATACTCAAGTTTGCCCAGTTTGGAATCAATCAATTAACCCAATATGCGTGTTAAGTGATTGATGATTCAAAATTAGCAAAGAAAAAAGAAAAAAAAAACACTTAAAAATATCATATAATATCCTTATTATTTATAGTAAAGACAACTACTGGAAACCTAAATGATAATATGAGCTGGTTAGCATGTAATTACATTATATTCTTCGCTAGGATGACTAATGATTTGGAATGTCACCAAGTCAGGGCTTCACAAACACACAAACATCTTCGAGATCCATCCTCTCAGGACCATGACTCAGTTTTGTGGCATTTCATCTGTGAAGATTCTTGAAATGCTAGTGCTAGGATTTAGCTAGAGAAATGTGGGTCATTTGGGTGAGCCACGTCCACGTTGGTGTACTTGCACATCCACAAAGATTTGTGCTCAGCTCACAAGGGTGTGAAAAGAGACCCAGTAGTTTTCCCACATTTGCTTATCTAGCACCACGTACAACTAAACAACACCTTTACTATTTCTCAACGCGGGTGATAAAGAATTTGAAACTTCATGGAGTATCTGGTAGCGTGGGGTGAAGACAAATACACTATGCCGTACTTAAATCTCCAGTTTGATTCCAGCGGAGGACCCACAATCTCTATTGTGTAAAATAACAAGAAAACAGACTTGGTAGGTTAAACTAACCCTTCTGTCTTATAGTAGAGGTGATGCACAGTGGGCAGCCCTCCATCAGAGCCTGGGGTCCACCAGCAGAAAAAAGTCTCCTTGTCGGGGGACCTGCAGCCAAGTTTGTCTGGTTTTTCTGGTGGAGACATGCCTGGCAACACACGTGACAAAGAGACATCAGCTTCCAATAAACAATATGATAAAAAAAACTTGGCACAGTCATTTAAAGGACAGCATTCACTTATCTTAGGTAAGTGAACGTTGTCTCTTACCTTTGATAACTTATCTTAGTTTCACTCATCCACCCAGAGTTTATTCATTTAAGCTGTGCTCACAGCAACTCAACCTGTGACCATTTGAAATGGCATTTTCTAAAATGTTTATTTAGACATAAAACTCCACAGTGATTGGTGGAAAAATTTGTCAAAAATAGTTTAATAGGTTTCTTGATACTTAAGTGACAAAGCTAGGGAGGCAAGGTGGGGACAGTCAGTATATAGGACAAAGGTATTGAATGTGAAGGTTCCAGAGAGGAGGAAAAGAAGAAGACCACAGAGAAGATTAATGGATATAGTCATTGACATGCATGTGGTTGGTGTGACAGAGGAGGATGTTAGGGAACGGGTGAAATGGAGGCAGACCCATAAAAGGAGCAACTAAAAGAATAATATTAAGAAAAAACAATAATAAAATCTGTATATGACTGGGTCATTCTCATGTTCAAGCACAGGGCATAGTGGTCTGGAATCTCAGTAAACTCCGTCATCATTAGACTGAAAAAGCACAAGATTGTTTCTATAAATGTAGGACAGATTGATAGATGTGGGTTGAGACTGAGAAAATGAAAGAGAAGACAAATAAAATCAGAGCTGTTAGCCAACAGGAGCACAGTAGGTGGACATCCTGGGAGGCTGTTATCGAAGGGCTGTTATGAGAACACGTATGGTGGATGCCCCAAGCAAGGCTGTGCATCATTATCAAGGCTGTGCATCATTATCAAGGCTATGTAGCAGGCCTAGAGGAGAGCTACCACCTTGCAGCAGTTTTCTAGAAGGAAGCAGTAACATAGGCCTGATATGAGGGTCCTGTATAACCTAACTGAAAGCAATAAGGCTGGAAGCAAACAGAGAGCATGATAACAGAGTGCCTGATCCTGTTTGTCAGGCAAAGAGGTGGGGCTCAGATTTGCAGTTGGAGGTGTTGGCAACTACTGTGGCTTGAAAGGAAATAGAACATGAGCTCAATACAAAATCCAAATTCCCACAACAGAAAACCACAACCTCACTATGGTAACACATCTACCACTACCATGCCTGCTCTGTGGGAAAAGGGAAAATTACTGAGGACTGCCAGATGTGGGCTCATGAACAGAGTGTGGGGTGTTGGAATTGCGATGACAGACTCCATGCTGATAAATGCTCTCAAATATCTGGTGGAGGAGGCACAACAAGGGAGCTTCTGGCTCAAAAGAAAGGATAAAGTGAGGGTAAAACTCCTACTGCTCGAGAGCAGGAGCCCAGAAATGTCCAGCTGCTAGACGTAACATGGCTACGGAAAGTAGGCAGAATTGAAACCACTAATATCAAACATAACTTCATTTCATTTTATTCGTGGACTTTAATATTTGCAAAGATTCACAGTTAATCTTCAGACTGATTTAATGTAGAGACACAGTTATTAGTCTGTACATTAAATCTTGCTTGGATTCAGTGTTTTCAAACTGAGATTTTAACCATTGATGCTTTTTGTTAGATTACAAATAACAGAATAACACACCAGAGAAAACTTATTTTAGTAAAAAAAAAAAAAAAAAAAAAAAAAAAAGGTGTTTCGTTTTAATTTTTAAATGTAATTATTCAGGATAATGAGCACTGAATATCCTTTTACAAAAAAAATTCCAAAACTATCTGCATTTTATAGTCTGTAGGCCACTAGCACTAAAGGCCCAGTTTTGGACCATGATGTAGTCGTTTACTCTGTACACCAGCACAGTGGATTTTAGTCAAGCTGTGATTGAAGTGCAGACGTTCAGCTTTAATTCAAAGGGTTTAACAAAAGAATCACATTGAGGTTTGGGTGTTACAGCCACTTTTATGTATGTCACCAATTTTCAGAGGTTCAAAAATAATTTGATAATTTGCCCAGTGATGGATGTTTCTTTATCAATCCTCTCAGCATGACGTCAAAAGAGATGTAGGAGCAATACTTCTGTTAAACCCCATGCATTAACACTAAAACGTCTATACTTCAGCTGAAATGTCGTCTAACCGTAAGTAAATATTCTGAGCGAATCGAGCCTCGGTGATTTAACTTACTGTTGCATTCTGCAGCTAATGCCAGCAGCAGGAGCAGCAATGGCAGCCTGAGATGCTTCACCATCCTGGCACAAGCCATCACACTCTGTGACAGGGAAGTGACATCACAAGCAAGTGGCAATGGTGTGATACGAGCTTGAGGCAGAATGTCTTGTTGTTACCTGAAACAAGCAGATATGGTGGGAAAACAGCAAACACAACCAATAATACCAGTTTTTCATTTACATATACGGGTCAGTAACAATTTTCATATGGTTATCAAACATTAAAATGAACTGTTAATAATTGGCTGGCAATATCATCAGCTGTAATCAAGGAATTCAAACATTATATAAGTGTTTTATAAATAAATAAACTGAAAGTGTGACGTTAGATTCATTTTGCTCATTTCAAAAGCAAAGTGGATTTGCCAGAAATTGCCAGACAAAACGTGAAAAAGAGTTTGAAACATGCCGTTTGGTGTTAAGCAAATTTTACATTGTCTAAAAAAAATGCTGGAGATGAATACGTTAATATGTGTGTAGGGGATTTTTAAAAAGTCATCTAATTCACAAACACGCACTTTGGACTGTTTATGCACTTCCTTATTCCTGAGAGATACTTGGATAAAGATTACACACAGAAACAAAGTACGCACAATTATGTTGGAAATGCTTGATGAATAACTGCACGTCACTGCAAACTGCTGCACGGCTTTTCTACATGGACTGGAAATTTACTGAAGCTCAGCTCAGTGGGAACTCAGACACCAAAGTAGTTTTCTGCCACCTTAACATGCTTGATGCAATCAGTCACCACAGGAAGTGTAGGAAACCGTCTTTTACTGGTTACCAACCTGTAATGTACAGAATATCGCAAAGGGGTCACACCTTTTCCCTTTTTGTAATTTGTGTTGTTTTGCTCAGCACAAACAGAGACAACAAGCTCCTTTTTTCCCTGCTGTGACACCCATTCTGACAAGTTTTAACAGGATCGCTCAGTGGAGCAAGTCTTGGATCGGGCTTATGTCTCAATTACATGCCAAAATAAAAACCCAAAGCTAAATACTCTATTTGGCAATCAGAATAAACATTTGGTCTGGGAGTAAACCTATCCTATCTTGAATCTAGTATAACGTATATATTTTAATATTCTCCTAATGAAGTACATATAATATTCTACATGTTTAAAGATAAGTGAAAAAAAATGGCATTATTATGCTGTATTTAAAGTGCAAAAATATAAGAATGTTTGGCAAGACGCATGCTGAAAAACTGTTACTAGGGTAACACACAACAGCATAGATGTTCAGTCAACACTCTGTATAAATATAGGCCTAATAATTTGTACCTAAGGATATAAACTGTACTATATGTATAATATTTATTATGTGTACTAATACTGATTAACTAATTGCTTCCTTTTATTACTATCAGATTTTTTGTGTTAAAGCGGAAGAAATAACTTTTTTTTTAAAACCCACATTAAATTAAGAAAAAAAAATCATGTGGATTTACGCGCTTTATACTCCCAGCTACTCAGTGATAGGAAGCCTGATTAATACCCTGCATTGCATTACATAGCACATTTAGGTTTTCATTTTCTGTAGACCAACCTGCGAGCACACAACACGCACAGAATCCATTACCAAAGAATTACATGCAGCCCTATCAGGTGTGATATTTACCAGGAAGCCGCGGGGGGGGGAACAGACAAATAAGTACAACTAAAGGTTAGTAGAGGGTTAATAGACGCGCTCTGGCGTTCACTCACCACTTTATGATCTTGGCAGCTATGTTTATCATCGATATTTATCGGACGTTGACGGGTACAGAACAAAAAAGGTAGCCTTCTTCAGTCATGACACAAAGCCAAACGAGCTCCAGACGAGCTCCGCACACCTGGCAACCAATGCGCCTAACACCCCAGGTATGACCACAAATAAGGAAGAGAGGTGTCTCGTTAGTAGTCGGGGGGAGGGGCTTATTGTCGTCACGACATACCCACCTGAGTACGAGCGAGAGAGTAAACACAGCGAGATGTCTCACTTCACTTAATTCCCTGAAAGTGCCAGCAGTAATGGTAACTGGCTGGTTAGTAACAGGTTTAAAGGGCAGTCTTCATACCTTCATGATGTTTTATTGGTATTTTAGCAAATTTAGCTACATTTTTTTTTATGTTCCTATAATGGTTAATCCACCAGTTTGCACACCCATATCAAAGCTACTCCAAAATATTTTAATGCTTTGATTATTTTGTTATCCACGAGTTTATATTTACAGTTAAAAAAAGGCAGAAAAAATTGTAAAACACATTATTTTTGCATTTTGGTGTAAAAACGTGAATTCAGTTTGTTACTTGCCTAATAAAAACAAAACCATTTAAAAAATTTAAACAGGTCTTTGGCAGATTTCTAAAAATATTCACGTTTTCTTGTTTTATTTTATTGTTGTATATATACACTGTGTACACTGTACTTTTTTGCCTGAATATTTGCCTGCAGTGAGTCATCAAGATGCATAAACTCAGTCAGAGCGAGAGCAGCACACCTGTCTCACATTTTCTCTTAAAATATATTGCTGTCATGTTTTACAGGTCACATGAAGAAAAGGTTGTAAACTCAAGAAAGTTACAGTAGAGTTTTTTGAGCGACCTCCTCTTGTACCTAACACTTTCTCTTCCGTTTACCATTTCTGTGATAGATTAATATTTCTGCACCTATTTCATTATTTTAAATAGCCAACAAACATAAAATGAAGAAATGAACGAGGGGTGTAGAAAACAGAATTAAACAGATACTGGTTACAAGCTTATAAAAGCTTGTTTCAAAACCCTAAATTGTTCGAGTGAGTATATGAGGGTCATGACTAGGTTTGTTATCAGATAAACACTAATCATCACACATTCACATGGGTTTGTTGAATGATGTTAGGGAATTTTGATTTCACTAACATCATTATGTAAATTATAAGGCCTTCAGTATGAGAGCAACATTTTAAATGTTGAAATTTGTAATAAAATTCAATAATCACACTGTTGCTGTAAAATAAAAATATATTAACATACACCCCACACTAGCTCTTTTGTTACCATGAACACAGAATTTGTTTTTTTAATTCAGTCCCATATACATCTCCTTGTTGGTGTTAATTCTCTGATGTAGATTTAGCCGTAGCTACTTTTGGTCTTACTTTAGGATTTGGCAACAAAAAGTAAAATATAGAATCTCACCAGCCTTATCTTTGAATTTTACTTCAAGCATCCATCTGTGCGGTATTGTTGATTTCTAGATGGCTTGTACACTGTTTGCTGCAAACAGGTGCAGCTGTCTTCCAGTGACGACAACCTCTATTTTGGAATATGAAAGGGTTAAGTACAACAGGTGAAATGATGTTATGGGGATGCTCTCGTCTGATATGGAGGTGTGGACGTTCCTCTTTGTCCACCATCATCAGTGTTGTTATTTTTTAGGGGCACTGGTCAAGGACAGACTACAGATCGCCATGTCCACAAAGGTTTTCTGGAGTTCACTTAAGCAGCTCCTTGCTAACAAACAAATGACGTGAAACCTGATCAGAGTGTGCACAAGTTTCACGTTGTTTCACTTGTATTTTATGAAAAATACAAGCTCCCTTAAACCTGCTGCCATTAATAGCATCATAATAGCACTAACACATTTTTAAAAAAAAGTTCAGATGGGGGAAAATGGTAGAAAAGCAATTGGAACATCTGCAACTAATCAGGTTTATTGGCAACTGGTGAGTAACATGCATGGGCATCAAAAAAGCACCTTAAATAGGCAGAGCTTCCAAAAGTAAAAATGGGCAGAGGGTCACCATTTTACAAAAAAAAACTGTCCACAAATTGTGGAATAATTTTAGAATAATGTTCCTCAATATAAAATTTAAAAAACTTATCCCATCATCTACAGAACATAATCATCAAGGGATTCTGAAAATCTGGAGAAATCCCTGTGCGCAAGAGACAAGACAGAATATCAATACTGGTTGTCTGTGAGCTTTGGTCATCACGTCATGGGTTCAGGATCACTTCTACAAATCACTGTCTGTAAACACAGTTCATTGTGCATCCACAAATGCCGGTTGAAACTCTGTCATGTAAGAAAGGAGCTTTAGGTGAACATGATCTAGATGATCACTTATGGTATGAGGGTGCATTAGTGCCTGTGGAACTGGAAACATTTAGAAACGCACCATCAACGCTTAAAGGTTTAGAGCATCGAATAATCCCATCCAGACTATGTATTTTTCAGGGAAGAGCGTGGGTATTTCAGCTTGTCAAACTGCATATATGTCTGGGTGCTGAACTGACCTGCTAGCAGTCCAAGCCTTTCACCAATGAAAACATTCAGTCCATCATGAAAGAGCAGCTAGAATCTTCTAACAGACGAGAAAGGGACAGCATTCTTCTTCCACAGTCCAGCAGCTGGTCTTAGACATTTATGGGCTGTTGTAAAAAGATGAGGTGATGCTACGCCGTGGTAAACATGGCTCTGCACCAACTTTTTTGGAGAAATGTTGCTGCCATCAAATTCAAAATTAGTATATTTTTATTTTTATTTCTTTTTAGTTAGTTAGTTAATTAGTTAGTATATTGCTTTAAATAATGCATTTTCTCAGCTCAAACATTTGATATGTTTTCTGTTGTAGTATTTGTCATGTCATACAGTTTTTAGGCCTTTTGATTCTAGATGAGTCACAGTTAATAGCTGACCAAAAAAAGCCTAAATATATCCACTATGATTCAGTGTTCAGGATTTTCTCTACTGTTACATTTGGACTCTCTCAGTCAACTCTTTGCCCGTGTTTATTTGAAACTGGAAGGTGTGGCTGGAAATTACTCATACTGATTTTAAGATAGGATAAAGCTTCTCACATGATCGCTCAATAGGAATAAAATGCTTTATTAAAAAGGGCTGATTTTTAAAACAAATGTGGTAAAATTACAGGTTTCAGTGAAAAGCTTTAACTGTGACTACTTGTAATTTGCCCCAAGGCTGGGCGAAGCATTACATGTTTGCGGGATAACTTCCACAGCAACAAAAATTTGCGTTCAGCAGAGAAGCTCCCCAGTACTTTTCCACACGCCTGTCTATCTGGGCAGTGCTTAGCCCATCTGGCGTGTCAGTTAAGAGTGACACACCTTTAGTTTCTGTTTAAGTCATGTTCACATTTTATATTAAACACATTACTTACTTATATAGCCATAAACAATAAAAAGAACCTGTTTGTTTGGTGACGTTAAATAAAGGTGAGTTTATGTTGTTATTACCATCATTGTTCCAGTTGGCATTTTCAATCCTAAGAATGCAATTTGTCATGTTATTGCAAGACAATTGCATGTTTTGCAGTCTGTGTTGAATAGACTCTACATAAACAAATGTTAAATCAGTGCTGCACCTCCTCATAGATTCACATCTCTAATCTTCATAGACTGTCATGGTGATTAACTCGAAGAATAAACTCGTGGCTTCTCTGCATGTCTTTTTTTTAATGTAAAATGTCATCCTCTTAAACCAGCTGCTGATAAAATTGTTATAACTCTAAGAAGATTTAACAAGGAAGTTATAAATGGCTGGACCCCATTAATCTTTAGGGTAAAATATATTTTATTAAATAATAACACTAAACACTGAAGGTTACTTTACAAAGAATTAAAAATCAATAAGAATGAATGGAAATACCTATCAAATTACAATATGTAAAATCATTAAGAACAGAGAATCACAGTGAGTAAGACAATTTAAGGAGGTGCAGGACAAAAGATTGCATAGTGGAGAAAAAGTCAGTGTTATATACAGTGGGATGCAAAAGTTTGGGCAACCTTGTTAATAGTCCTTATTATCCTGTATAAATCGTTGGTTGTTACGATAAAAAATGTTAGTTAGATATATCATATAGGAGAAACACAGTGATATTTGAGAAGTGAAATGAAGTTTATTGGTTTTACAGAAAGTGTGCAACAATTGTTTAAACAAAATCAGGCAGGTGCATAAATTTGGGCACCACAAAAAAGAAATGAAATAAATATTTAGTAGATCCGCCTTTTGCAGAAATTACAGCCTCTAAACGCTTCCTGTAGGTTCCACCATTGCTCTTTACAAAACATCTCTAGTTCATTCAGGTTTGATGGCTTCCGAGCATGGACAGCTGTCTTTAACTCACACCACAGATTTTCAATAATATTCAGGTCTGGGGACTGAGATGACCGTTCCAGAACGCTGTACTTGTTCCTCTGCATGAATGCCTTGGGGGATTTTGAGCAGTTTTTCGGGTCGTCGTCTTGTTGAAAGATCCAGCCCCGGCGCAGCTTCAGCTTTGTCACTGATTCCTGGACTTTGGTCTCCAGAATCTGCTGATACTGAGTGGAATCCATGTGTCCCTCAACTTTGACAAGATTCCCAGTCCCTGCACTGGCCACACAGCCCCACAGCATGATGGAACCACCACCATATTTTACTGTAGGTAGCAGGTGTTTTTCTTGGAATGCTGTGTTCTTTTTCCTCCATGCATAACGCCCCTTGTTATGCCCAAATAACTCAATTTTAGTTTCATCAGTCCACAGCACCTTATTCCACAATGAAGCTGGCTTGTCCAAATGTGCTTTAGCAAACCTCAAGCGGCTCTGTTTGTGCTGTGGGCGGAGAAAAGGCTTCCTCTGCATCACTCTTGCATACAGCATCTCTTTGTGTAAAGTGCGCTGAATGGTTGAACGATGCACAGTGACTCCATCTGCTGCAAGATGATGTTGTAGGTCTTTGGTGCTGGTCTGTGGGTTGACTCTAACTGTTCTCACCATTCGTCGCTTCTGTGTATCCGAGATTTTTCTTGGTCTGCCACTTCGAGCCTTAACTTGAACTGAGCCTGTGGTCTTCCATTTTCTCAATATGTTCCTAACTATGGAAACAGACAGCTTAAATCTCTGAGACAGCTTTCTGTATCCTTCCCCTGAACCATGATGGTGAACAATCTTTGTCTCCAGGTCATTTGAGAGTTGTTTTTGAGACCCCCATGTTGCTATTCTTCAGAGAAAATTAAAAGAGGAGGAAAACTTACAATTGACCCCCTTAAATACTCTTTCTCATTATTGGATTCACCTGTGTATGTAGGTCAGAGGTCACTGAGCTTACCAAGCCAATTTGACTTCCAGTAATTAGTTCTAAAGGTTTTGGAATCAATAAAATGACAACAGTGCCCAAATTTATGCACCTGCCTGATTTTGTTTAAACAATTATTGCACACTTTCTGTAAATCCAATAAACTTCATTTCACTTCTCAAATATCACTGTGTGTCTCCTATATGATATATTTAACTGACATTTTTTATTGTAACAACCAATGATTTATACAGGAAAATAACGACTATTGACAAGGTTGCCCAAACTTTTGCATCCCACTGTATGTCACAAACAGTTTTGTCAAGGTTTGCTGTGTAGCAGGCAGGGTGTACTACAAACACAAAAGCAAAACTTGAAACTAGAAACACAAAAACTCAAACTAAAACACAAGAAAATAAACCAGGAACTGAGAAATAGGAATTAACTTTTTAAACATAGGCTGCATCTTCCTGAGGGCACATTTGTAGACCGATTACGTCACAGCAGCGCGACAAAGGCTGTCTCAATTCGTAGACTCCTCTTAATCCGGCCGACAAATGCGTCCTCATTTTCCCCAGATTTGAAGGATGGGTTGGATGTATCCTTCATGGCCCACAATATCCAAGTTTTGGGACACAGCTAATGAGAGGATGGGGAACAGGTGGTAACACAGCTGGGACAAATCAGACCTAATGAGACAAGGGGAAGCAAAACCAGACACACTGCACACAGGACAGGGACTATCAAAATAAGACAGAAAACACACGACAGACATGGACTTGACACAGTAACAAACTGCGACATGAGACACGACTGACTGGGGAATGAGAAAAACGTGAAGTCAGAACTAAACCTACACTAAATGTGAGATGCACAGGAACAAAAACCAAGAAATTGAAAGCGAAAAACTAGAGAGCTACAAATACAGAACCATAAACCAAAAGACTAGTAATGATAAACCGTGATGAAATCAAAAAATTATAATAACACAAAACACTGGGTCACTTACCCAGGACTCTAACAAGTTTAAAGACATCAAAAAAATAACTAAAAATATCAAAAGTATGTGAGGAAATAAGTCCAGGCTTGGGACTGGCACTAGGAGTACACTAACAGCACCATGCAGTCTCATTGCAGTTTGTAAAATAGTCACAACTATAATTTTATTAGTTTGTGTTTCTGTACATTAACTTTTATTCTTTTGTGTGTTCCTCAACATGAATTTCCCAGCATTAAATTTGAACTTTTCATCCCTCCATTCTCCTATATACCGAATCTATTGTATATCTCAAATATTTTCATGCATCATCACTTTTAAAAATATTATTAATGAACAACATGCTGCTTAGTTAAGTTTAGACAGGTTAGTTTTGTTAGGTTTTGTTTTATTATGGGACTGGACTGATTGAACAGCAGCACACACCTGAAAATATATGCTTCCAGTGGTAAAACAGTGCCATCTTGTGGTGAATTCTTTTGTTACAGCTTGCAGGGGGCAATTACAAAAAGTACCTTTAGACAAAACAGGATTTACAGAGAGCCAGTCTCCATATGAGTATATAGAAGAAAAGCTCTGAGATTCTGTAAGAGGAGACAAGGGGTGTCAAGCCTCTCCTTTGGTCAACTCACAAAACCAGTGCTCACTGCAGGTTAGGGTTAGTCAGTGGTGCTAGTTTATAAGGTGGGGGAAGCCTGCAGTCAGCCGAGACTTAAATGGTCACTTGGATGAGTGATGAGTGAATGTTTTCCCCACTGAAAACACTACGTCCAGATTAACAGAATAATTTTTTTGTGATATAACCTTTTTGTGTACATTGTGTACAACCAGTTTTGACTTGATAATGTCAGTACTGGGTAAAAACTGTTTGAGTCCTCAATGTATCTTTCCAGGAAGTGATGCCTACATTAATGAAAACAGGATTGATCCTTAAAAAAACCTGTTCATTTTCTGTGCCAACCAATAATCTATAGAAAATTTCTAGCTCCTTCACTTTGAGGAGGTCACCGGCTCCCACCTGAGCGGCTGACTGCAATCAAAGAGTGCAAACTGAGCGAGATGACTCACCTCTCCTCAAGTTCCTGTGTCTGTGCCACTTGGTTTGTGATTTTAAGCCTGAGCACTCGTTTAATATACGAGGACGTTGCATGTTAAAAGAAAAGAATATATAGATTAACCTTGATAAATAAGGGTTATTTGGTATATACTAGCTAGTATTAGCAGCGTTTACAGTAAAAAAACAGTGACGTATTTAACTACACTGAACAAATACCAAATAATCGTGTTGGCTCAGTCAAATGGCGAGTATAGGGCAGCTACACTCTCTTTGGCAGTTGCACAGAGCTAGCTAGTAGGCTATCCTCTTTCGATTAACGCCAAACAAAATTACGAATAGAAAATGAGATATCACACAGGTTAATTTTTGAGTAAGTTACTTGGTTTGTCTTAATGGCGTTGAATTAATGAAAGGAGGTAAACTCTGAAAACAGGCCAGAGTTCGGGATTTTCTTTTCGCCTCTCGCTTCACAAGCGTACATGCAGAGACTCATCTTTATACATAAGTGGTCTTTGTTAGAAGGAAACCACAACTGAGCTGCACCACGGGGAAAAACCAAGACGACGCTGTAGGCGTGTCTATCAACTTTATCATTTCTTTCAGGAAGTAGACATATTTTATTTCTCGTGCCATAACTTTTCTTTTGCGTGCGATAGAAACACGTTGATGGTGAGCTTTGGTTGAGGAACTGTCATGTCGGACTCTTTGGAACGGTCCACGAAGATCAACTCGTTGAAGGAGCCGGTTGTGAAGAGGCTGTGTGAGGTGCTGGACAAATCCAGCACTAAAGGATGGCGAAAACTTGGAGAGATTGTTGGCAATGATAGACGGTTTAAAGTCAGGTGGGTTAAACATTACTATTAGTACTTGTACTTAGCAAATGACCAGAAATCATTGCATGCATACACTTAACCACCGGTTTATTTATTAAAGCTAATGGAGACTAATGCGATTAACTTTCATTATAGTTACACTGTTCGGTTTGGTGGTTATTGTCAATTTTATGTTGTGGTTTATATTAAAAAATAAAGGTGTAGAGTATGTAATACAGTAATGCACAATTAACCTGTATATTTTCTGGCATAAATAAATATGTAACTCCAAGTTAATAAAATCAAGAAACCCTCATTGAGAGATTAAATTGGACAAATATTTGTTTTTCCTTACAGCGTCTTCCAGGTTAATGGCAGTTAATGAAACTATCAATCAAAAGTGTAGGGTCCAGTCATTATTTATATGCAGTTTTATTAACAAATGATGATGATGACTAATGTTTGCCTCTGTTTTTTTCATCCTAGCTGTTACTGTACAGCTGGAACATTATCATATGATATCACACCTGCCGAATATCACTATTACACCGTGTGTTTGAGTACATATATTCCCTGTACAGTGCAGTCTGCTTATAAGATGAAATATGCATTATTATACCAAAACAGCAGCCAAAACTTAAAAAACAACGTGGCTCAATCAAATAAGTACAAACTAAATAAGCTCAGACAAGTGTAAAATAGCACAAAAGAAGGGAGTTCAGGTAAATAGAGAATCACAAAAACTGAACAGCAAGACATATCAGCTCTTAAATATAACCTATTAAGGAGCTTTGTAATAAGCTTCAACAAATACAAGTGTTACGGTATGACACTAACATCTATCTGTTAGATAAAGTGTTTCACTGATTGTGCACTAAGCAGTGCAGATGGTTTAAAGATTATCATTAATTTGCCTTTCTTTTCAATTTGTGTAAACTTATTCCCTTATCTTTGTCTAACAGTTTCTTATGATCTGAGTTTTCGTGTGTGAAAATGGTAAAGACGAGTTTTACTGTAATACGATTTGAAATATGAAATGCTGACAATCACCTACATCCTTTCCAGCTCGGACGACATGGAGATGTGCTCGCTGAAGGTGCTGGAGCTGGAGGGAAGCCCGAGTCTCATGCTGCTGAGGCTGATGGGAGAGCGAGGCTGCACCACAGGCCATCTGATAGACTACCTCCAAACTTTAGGCAACTCAGAGGCTCTGCAGTGCCTGAAACCGCCAGGTAGAGTAAAACCACATCGATGCTGCTATGTTGTCAATCATGCAGGTTAATCTTCACTTTCTGCATTCTTTTTATTTCTCATCTGAAGCTCGCAGTTCATTGTGCTGTTTGGATGAAACTTATAGGCACCACAAAGTTCTGCTGTATACAGTCCATCTAAATCAGTGTAAATTCACAGTAATTATCCTGTACATGTGCAGCCCTCCAGATCCTCATTCAGCCCCAGTCTGTATCCATTATATGTGGCCACAATCTGCGGCTCAGCTGCCATGCTGTGGGCAAGTCCCCAGTACAGTACCAGTGGTTCAAATCTAAGGAAGAGGTGAGTTCCTCTGACGCACACACAAACACACACACACGCACACACACACATTGAATTTTTTCTGACTTTAAATTGAAGTACTTGCGTTAAAACCTCTTTAGCGTTTTTCACACATTCACTGCAGCCATAACTTTACTAACTTTACTAGAAATGACACAACTGAAATGCATGTGAGATCAAAAATGTCCAACATGGTCTGATCAAACATTAAATGGTGTTTAAACCGACAACTTCCTAGTACAAAGTCCACCTGCATGATCCGGTAAATTCACCACTAGTGAGTCCTGCGGTTGCATTCTCTTCTCAATCAGGACTTTCCCATAAAACAGAGTATTTCCAATAGTGAGAAGACATGATTACCCTATCATCGGTGCAGTAAATAGCACTGTTGTTTCATCATAGTTAATGGGTGATCCTAAATAAGTGGTTAAGAAACTTACCTGAATCTCTTCCTATAGCGCAGGGATGTTTTTTAGTGAGCTGAGCAACTCATAAAGGTGCACAGTTGCAATTGTCTGCATGTGTCAGCGTCAGCATGCATTCAGTCTTGTGACGCCATGCTGAAAGGGATACATAAGTGTTACTCATTCTGACTTGAAGGATGTAACTTTTACATCCTTCATCATCATGTCACTGTTGTATGAAACACTTCCTTCCTTCATCATGGGTGCTCAATCATAGAAAAAGACACATTCAGATGCTGTCGTATTACAGTTTTTTACAGACGCTAGGACACATTTCTCAATACTTAGGTCACGTTTGCAAAACTCCTCACACAGTGAGCACAACAGAAGTCTATGTGGGCTAAACTGAGGACCA